GGTTTCTCTTCTTTCATTCTCCCGAGAGTGTAAATTCACACCTTATTGGATGAGAAATATGGAATTATAGCACTGATAGTTAGCCATTATTACAGCTTGTCCGTTGTGACTGCTTATGTTGAAAGAAAAACAGTTGTAATTATTATTTGGCCTTACGTATTAGTATTTACTGCCACATAATTGTTCTCTCTTACATAGTTCAGACTTGAACAGTGCTCTGTTTTTCCCTTTTTTCTTGTTTTTACATTTTTACCTGATACATTGTGAAATTCTATACATATACATGTGGATTAACCCCTTGGTGCCGGGTGACGCCGATCGGCGTGTAAACAAAGCGCTCGAAAGCTGGCGTGCAGCCGAACGAGCCGGCGGCGAGCCAGTGATTCGGGCTGATGTCCCCTACTCACCCGCTCAAAGTCGGCGCGCCGCCTTTGTTTGTTTAAGCGTAGAGTTTTTTTTTTTTGTTTTGTACACCCGGCGCCATTGGTTTAAAGTCGTTTCAGCTTGTCTCTGGAGTCCCCTTTCCTACTCCCTTTCCATTTTCGTCTTTCGTTTTCTTCTTGTTTACATACTTTGACATGTTAATATTTGTATTAGTAAACTAGTTAACAGAACTAATTCTCCAAATTTCTCATTACAGGGATGGAAGAAGACGCTCTTGGTAGTTTCTCACGACCAGTCTTTCCTCGACAATGTGTGCACAGACATTATTCACTTAGATCAATGTAAACTTCATTACTATAAGGGAAACTATTCTATGTTTAAGAAGGTGAGTAGAGGTAGCACTTTTTTTTTTGTGTGTGTGTGTGTGTGTGTGTGTGTGTGTGTGTGTGTGTGTGTGTGTGTGTGTGTGTTTTTCTGTCAAATTTTAAGAGTGACAAGTAAATTTTGTCAAGAGGGTGGTTGCTTATACTTGTTCATGGCTTAGAAGGCTTTCCTGAGTCAGAATTGTCAAAGTGGACTTCGAAACTATTCCCTGGTCTCACCATACTTTATCTGGAATTTTACCTTTTGGGAATAAGCTACAGAAGTTAGGAGTCCAATCTGTTGTAGCTACATGTTTATGTGTGCGCATGAATGTGTATTTCTTTTTGTGTGAACGTTGCCATCTTGTCATATGCAATACACTAAGGAATGTTTCTACATTTTTTGCTAAACAGATGTTGGTGCAAAAGAGAAGAGAGCAACTGAAGGCCTATGAGAAGCAAGAGAAGAGAATTAAGGAGATGAAGTCTTCGGGAGCCACAAAGAAACAAGCCGTGAGTGTTCTTTCCTGTTGTCTAGGTTTAGTCATGAATCAAGGATTCTTGTGTTGGTGACATGGAGGCTATTACTCTAAGGAAAATAATAATTGGTTTGCCGCATCTGCCCACAGGAAAAGAAGTCGAAGGAGGCGCTGACTCGAAAGCAGGAGAAGAACCGCGCCAAGAGCAAGAAGAACGACGACGAAGACGGCCCCACCGAGCTGCTCGAGAAGCCGCAGGAGTACATAGTGAAATTCAAATTCCCGGAGCCGCCCCCCCTGCAGCCTCCGATCCTCGGACTTTATAATGTTAGCTTTTGGTACCCCGGCCACAAGCCCCTGTTCAAGGAAGTCGACTTCGGTATCGACATGGACAGCAGAGTGGCCATCGTCGGCCCCAACGGCGTGGGTAAGTCCACGTTCCTGAAGCTGCTGGTGAACGACCTAACCCCCTTGGAGGGCGAAGTGCGCAAGAACCACCGCCTCAAGATCGGCCGCTACGACCAGCACTCCGGCGAGCACCTGACGGCCGAGGAGTCGCCGTCCGAGTACCTCATGCGGCTGTTTAACCTGCAGTACGAGAAGGCGAGGAAAGCCCTGGGCACGTTCGGGCTGGCGTCCCACGCGCACACCATCAAGAACAAGGACCTGTCCGGAGGGCAGAAGGCGCGCGTGGCCCTGGCGGAGCTCTGCCTATCCTCGCCCGACGTCCTCATCCTCGACGAGCCCACCAACAACCTCGACATCGAGAGCATCGACGCCCTCGCCGAGGCCATCTCCGAGTTCCAGGGCGGCGTGATCATCGTGTCCCACGACGAGCGCCTCATCCGCGACACGGACTGCACGCTCTGGGTCATCGAGGAGCAGACCATCAACGAGATCGACGGCGGCTTCGACGACTACCGCAAGGAGCTGCTGGAGGAGCTGGGCGAGGAGATCAACAACCCCAGCATCTCCGCCCACAACGCAGCCGATTTATAAGCGCGGCGTCTGAGCTATGCGACCAAGGGCTTTCTTAGGTTTTTCTCTTTATTCGGAGGACGAGGTGATCCGTGAACGTGGCGGCGGTATTATATATATATTATTTTTCTCAGAGAGGTGTTACTTTTTTTCGAAGATGTAACGCATTTCCAGTGACACGCATGCTATTCCTGTAATTAAAACCTGCATGGGAATAGGTGAATACATCACATTATATTATTATGTATCTTGTATTCTATAAACGATCGAAACTGAAATAAAATATCTTGCTTTTTATTGTGTTTTTCGTGATTGAAGTTGCATTTTCCTGATATACTTGAAGGTCATATTTACAGAAAGGCTGTAACATCAACTGTCCACATATCAGTGAAATATTGTTTTTACTTTTATTTTTTTTTACTCTATCGTATTTCGCTGTATTTTGTTTTTTTCTTCACACTTGGTATTGCTAAAACGGCCGAGAAAATAACCGGCCTGATTTACGTTACATCATGAATATTAATTACCTAATTTAAGTGTAGCTTGTTACTCTTGCGAATATATTACTTTTGTATGTGTTTAGTCCTAAGTATTCACTCATGCCATTATAGAAAATCGAACTTCTGTCCAATCTAATCAATTATTGTGTATATACAGTTATGAATAATGTTAAGGTCAATTATTTTGTTATTAAAAGGACATGGAACTTTAGTTGTTTTGATGATCATTTAGTGGGAATTGGATGACGTTTAAGGAGCACTTTAATGCGTAGTGTTTGTGCTAAAGAGAAGAAATCGGTATGAAATTCGCTGAATATCAGTTGTTTTTGAAAAAAGTTTTTACGCCATTTGATTGTAATTTTTGTAAACCTCATAGAGAAAGCTATCCTATTATTTTTTTTTTTTAAATAAAATACCAATTTTAATCTAACTTCAGGTTTTCAATATCTAAAATTATTGCTCTTGCATTTATAACGCCAGACACAAACATATAGTAATGATATACATCATAGGTATGATACTGTATTAGGTAAAAAAAAAAATATGTGGCAGTTTTCATTACGTAGAAAAGGGAATACAAAAATATAATCAAAATTTATTATTTAGATTTTGAACTGTTTCTATGCGTATTTCTTGTCTTTTGGGATTATCGCCCTTTTAGCACGAAGCAATAAGGCACACGTAAGACACTGACCCCAACTTAACCTGACCTAAAGTTTCCCCGTAACTAAGAGTATTTCTAGCAGCTTCTATACGATTTCAAGGGGAACGTGATATATACTGGAAATATAAATCATTCGTGTTCTTATATCAATAAAGCAAAGAGTCGCCGTGTCGTAGAAAGCTGAGATACATATTTTGGTGTTTTTTCCAGGCATAGCAAAGGCGAAGAAACAGACCGTATACGTAGGTATTTTCAGAAACTATTGCGTCGTTGCTCTTGGTGGCGGGGGGGGCGGGGGTGGTCTCAGCAAATGTTGCACGGTCTTTTCTTCCCCTTTTCTGTTCCTTCTCGTCTTCATCCCGTTCTGTCCAATATTTAATTGTTTTAACCATTAACCATTACAATCTGGTATCTACATATCGACTGCTTAAAAAAAAAAAAAATCCTGTCTGTTTTTAGAGCAGATCTGGTAGACAGGTTAGCTGTCTTTCGAAGCTTAATCAGTTCTTAAATTATGAAAAAATATGACAGAAGCTTGTCAAAGAGTATAAATCGTATTTAATGATATTAGAATAAATGGCCTATTTTGACCCGAGTTCTGTAGAGTTTATCATTGTTATCATCGTTGCATTGGAGTAATATTTGATCACAAGACAATTCAATACAGCGTCAAAATCATATCAATTCAACATTAACTTGTTCTTAAACCAAAATTAAGGGATAATTTGAAATCGAAAAAAAAAAAAAAAAAAAAACGGTCAAATGTCATAGGTCTGATCATTTGACTTTTATGCCACAGACAGATTAGATCATAAAAGTTCAATAGATAAAAAATAAAACGAAATTGTACAAACAACAATAATATTTACGGCCACAGAGTAAGTTATCAAGATCAATCTTCTTTGTGAGTAAAACTTTTTGCGTGTTATCAGCTATGTATTTCGTTACATCTCGTATCAATATTATCATTTTATCATTATCTTTGTCATTGTCATTATCATCATCATCATCATTGTCATTGTCATTCTCATTATCATCATCATTGCCATTGTCATTATCATTATCATCATCATCATCGTCATTGTCATTATCATTATTATTTTCATCATCATTATCATTATTATTATCATTATCATCATCGTCATTATCATTATCATCATCATCATCATCATTATCATTATCATCATCATCATAATTATCTTTATTATCATTATCATCATCATCATCATTATTATCAATCATCATTATTATTAGCATTATTATCATTACTATTATTATCATTGACATTATCTTTATCATCATCGTCGTCGCTACCAATTATATCACAGGTATGACCATCATCAGAGAAAAATTGTTATTACTTTTTCCCTCGTGGTTCATCGTGTTCTTCTGGTTGGCATCCGGAAGGGCACCCGGTCGGACATCGCCATAGGACAGGAGGGTTACAGGCTTAAAGCACGTTTGTCGTTGTTGATGTTTATGGTGATAAAAAAATGTCAATCATTGTTTTTATTTTTATTTGTATTATTTTGTTTCTGAGTATTGTATACATTTACTATATATGTACTGTTATCTCTGTTATTATTTACATTATCACATCGAGTGGTAAATAATGTACTTGTGGTATTTTTGTTTGTTAATAATATCTTAGTTGTTGTTGTTGTCATTAGTATTATTATAATTATTATTTACATTCTTTTTATTGTTCTTGTCGTTTCTGTTATTATTAACATTACTATTATCAGTTAGTATTATTATTGTTAGTGGTCCTGCTGGTGTTGTTGTTATTTCTATTATTGTTTTTGTTATAATTATGATAACTATTAATGTTGGTAATATTAATTATTATCATCATTACTTTTGTTATCATCATCATCATCTTCATAATTTTCATAATGTGTGTGTGTGTGTGTGTGTGTGTCTGTGTGTGTGTGTGTGTGTGTGTGTCTGTGTGTGTGTGTGTGTGTGTGTGTGTGTGTGTGTGTGTGTGTGTGTGTGTGTGTGTGTGTGTCTGTATGTGTGTGCATATAAGTGTGCGCGTGTGTGTGAGATGCCAGATGTTGTTGGAATTAATAATTATATAATGAAAATAGGTTTTAATAGTAATAATTCCACATCTGCTTGAATATTTTATTTTTTTTGCTGTCATGGATTCATTCCTACATTCGTCAAGTGAATGGAAACATAAAAAGATAAAAAAGAGAACAGTTTATATATTTTTTTTTAGGAATAGTGAATTTGATTAAGTGAAAACAGTACTTTTTTTGGTAAAATACGAGAACGCACTCCGAGCCTAAATATATTACAAACCCATAAAAACTTCTTTGAAAATCTGACGAACCAATATTCAGAATTTGAAGTTATTAGAAAATATATCTACGATTTCTTCTGGATTCATATCTTAAACTTTTTTTTCGACAATATCACATTACATCGAATAAAGAAAAAAAAAGAACAAGATTAAAAAAAAAGTTAAATTGAAATAACGATGTATTTTTAAAACTACTCACCCATGCGTTATATTTCAAAGCATTCGTAAAATATTTCAGCTCAGCAAATATTTCTACCATTGATCTATCAGCAGCTTCGGTTGGCTGCCAAAATCATTATTAATGCAAATCAATTATTATTTTGCCATTATAGCGTTCGAAAACAGGAGGGCCGCAGGTAAACAGTAAACACTGTGCTGATTATACATAACTGTTTTAAACTTTTGGATTATAAAGCTATTTATTCTCTGATTCCAAAGTTCTCTCTTGATATATGTATATATATATGTGTGTGTGTGTGTGTGTGTGTGTGTGTGTGTGTGTGTGTGTGTGTGTGTGTGTGTGTGTGTGTGTGTGTGTGTGTGTGTGTGTGTGTGTGTGTGTGTTTAAATTCTTACATGGTTTGCAAACTTTCTCCCAGTAAAGGAAAGTCGATGGACTATTGATTTTAGCTTAAACCTTCTTAGCTAGTGATTTCATACAAATCTGACTAAAGTATCAGTTTCAGAATCTGCTGTTTAATTAGGAACAAGAAAAGGTTAACGTTCAAGATTATAATCCTTCTGAGAAAACGGAAGCTTTTGCACACAATGATCATCTGAAAAATCCTACATTGTTCTCTGTCCTCCTCCTCCTCCTCCTCCTCCTTCTTCTTCTCCTTCTTCTTCTCTTTCTTCTTCTCTTTCCTCGTTCCTCTTCTACTTCTTCCTCCTTCGTCTTCTCCTTCTCCTTCTCCTTCTTCTTCTCTTTCCTCGTTCCTCTTCTGCTTCTTCCTTCTTTCGTCTTCTTCGTCTCCTTCTCCTTCTTCTTCTCTTTCCTCGTTCCTCTTCTACTTTTCCCTCCTTCTTCTTTCTTCTTTTTCTTCCTCCTTCCTCTTTTTACTTCTACCTCTTCTACTCTTCATCCTCTTCCTCTTCATCTTCGAAAGATCTTTATTTTTATGGACAAGATTCAACAACTGGTTATATAGATCCACTATAAGTACTGTATAAGGCCTCGCATTTTTTTTTTAATATGAATACAGAGGAAAGTATTATAACTCTTTTATCGGCAAGATTTTTTTTTTTTTTTTAAAGATCGTATATATGATTTTCATATCTAAAGAAACTTGATTGTAAATAACATTTGATGTTGAACAAAACAGCAAACACGGTAAGAAAATGATTCATTTCCACTTGGCTTCGGATCGTAATGAGTGAGTCACGTGGTAGGGTTCGATCCCACACAATGGAAAAACAAAAAACAAAAAAAGAAGAAGTAGGTTTTGGTAACAGGTTCCGAATCCTTTTCTTACAGTAGCTTCCGTTATTTGTTTTGTTTTTGTTGTTTGTTTTTTTTCACCTCGTTTTTTTTTACACCTTACTGATCCTTGTCAATTTGTTAACACACTTTATAATAGAATATCAACCTTTACAAATGTAAAATACTATTTTCTATTACAGGATACAACACCTCATAAAGCAACAACAAAGCTTCGCTATGTCTCCTACGGTAAACAAAAACAATGATACGAAAAAATACAAAAGAAAATCGATCTTAAAAAAAATGCAAGATGGGAAAGAAGGGAGAGATGAAGAAGAAGAAAAAAAAAAGGAAAGAGGGGGCAGGAGAAAATAAGGAAGAGAGAGATGAGGAAGAGGAAAC